GAAGCCTGATACATCACTGAGCTAATTGGTAAGAGCATCTACTGCTAATTTTATTCATCTGTAGTAATCAAGACTGTTGCTCTGTGAATTCGATTCCTGTATTTAATGCAGTCCAAGACAATAACTTTAACCAGTTGACATCCGCGGTGTTAAACCCCCTTCCCATTCAGGCCATTTTTCAGTATTCAGCGCTGCGGTACTTTAACTGACATTTATTCCGTCATGCAGCGCTGTACTGAAATTAATTTTATACCCTTTTTTGGGGACAGATAGAGCTTTCTTTTTAAAACTTTTTTTACCTGGAGACCCCATAAGAAGCTGATGAAGCACAGATTTGTTTCACCAGCTTCTTCTCTCTGACTGACTGACAGGTGAATGCGGAAGTGATGTAATACACATCACTTCTGCATTCACACTACAGAGGGAGAACAGCAAGGAGCTGATCTCCCTCCCTCCTCCCCCTGACGCCCTCCCGAGACAATCCCGGGCCGCAGATGGGCTAGCGGATCCCGGGATTAAAGGTGAGGGGTCAGGAGGGGGGAGTGGTGGCACTAGCGAACGGGGGGGTGATCCGAAAATCACGCCGTACAACCGGGTCTTTCCTGCCCGTGCGCGAGAGCAGGAAAAAAATGCCGTCTGGACACGGCAACCCGCGGATGCGAGTCTGCCGTCCGTCCGGGCGGACGGCAAGAGGTTAAAGAACTATATGTTGACCACCATGGATAAAAGTTGTCACCAAAGGTTTCCCAGGCACTTTCCCTTCTGGTGCTGAAAACTTAGCTCCCCCTAGCATTTCAGCATCCAACAGTCCTGGAGCCATCTTGCTCTGAGGTTGTTGGAGGTAAAAACACATTAAGACAAATGCATTGTACATGCATTACCATTTACTTTTTTGGGCCTCAGTACACATGAAAGTGGACAGAAAACAGGCCTGAGCCATTTTCTGAAACATGCTGCAGCTCAGCACACAGATAGGCTGTATCTAACATTGCCTTTGATGACACATGCGGTTTTGCCCATGTTAACACATGAAAATGTGAACAGGGCCTTACTCTCCAACACAAGGGTCAGATATCATCTAAAGTCTGACAGTTACCGCCTAACTATATACACAGTCTCAAGAACTTGACAGGGAAGTAACCATCAGTCTTTAAGTAATCTCTGACCCTTCCCAAGCAAAAAAGTAAATATGGACAAAGTAACCAATTATAAATCTTTCATTAGGTAGGCTTGACTACATACAAATCAATATTAAAACTTTGCATATCTCTAATTGTGACTGGTTCTCTTCAACCTTTAACAGATATTCAAGCATACCATTAAAAGTACTACTCCCTATAAATCCATATTTTGCAATACTAAAACAAGACATACAAATATCATTGCTCACCCTTTTCTCTGCAGTGATGTCTTCCCCCGATGAGTCCCTCTCGTCATGCGTCTCTTTCACAGCTGGTATTTGTTTCTTGTGCGCTGGCTCTCTGTTGAGGGTGGTATAGCCTATATGTTCATAAATCGGGTTTATGGTCATCTTGGCAATGTACTCGGCTGCCTTGGTCTCGATATACAGGGTGATCAAGCCATCAGTCACCAGGTCATGGATGGACTCGAACCTCTTTTCTCCAACGAAATGTTTTCCATCATAGTAAAGTCTGAAGTTTCTGGTCTGACTTCCAAATCTGACTCAAAAATAAAAAATAAATATTTTACATTGTGATGGGGAAGAAATTTTCTGAAAATGTCAAAACTTTTGGGATTGAAACAAGTAGTCCAACAACTGCAGACGCTTTATACAAGTCAGTTCATTACATCTGTGGAAAAAGTGATATATCCAGCAGTTTGGCTGACAAGATTTTTTTTTTTTTTTCTTCACTGCCAGAACTGTGTCTTCTTTCAGCCGCCTGCCTAGGAGATGTTACACTTACAATAGGCTCTTCTATTGCACTTAATCAATACAGTGATTTGATGCAGTGCAAAACTTCCACAGCCTTGTCATTTAGTAGGACGAGGCTATTCAGGGCACATTTGGCTCTCGTGCCAACAATTACACTGAATTGCATCTGCTGCCAGAGTCTCGGCTAAATGGGACAGAATGGCACAAGGGTAAGTATTCTTTATTTCTGGCTGGAAGCCAAGTGCTAACTCTTTGGTGTTCTACAAAGGAAGCTCTATGGAAAGTGTTCTGAAACTCAAGAGGTTTTCACAAAATCTACGATGCATTGGCTGATGGCCTTAAGTGATGGTTTAAGCGTTACAGTTTTTTCTTCCATTTACATGTGGCTGTATCAGACAACAGATTGCGATTAAAAAAAAAAAAAAAAAAAATCAGAGGGATGCTTTATACAAATGCAAATTTCAAGCCGTCCGGTGGTCATATACAGAAAGACAAGACCATATGCAACATACTTAAATGGGGTTTTTTGTTGTTGTTGAAGAAGCCCCTTCTGCTTCTCTGGTTGTCCAGCATCTCCCCCTCAGATGTCTACTATCCTACTGGTATGTTACCACTAGTAGTGGCATATTAGGATCTGTTTTTTCGGTGCCTACATTTCAGTGCCAAAATAACTTGAAAATAATCAGAACCAAAAGAATCACACACAAAATCTACAATAAAATATGTCACCTGTCTTATGCAGTGATAATGAAAATAGAAAAGGTTCTGGGCCAGCATAATAGCCATAGGACTAGAAAAATATTCCTTATTAATTGCAGCCTAAAGTAGAGCTAAGCCCAGTTATTAAAAGTTCATATAATCTGTAACATGCTAATATACAGTACAGGTGTCAAAAAAATGCGGTAAAGTAAGAATGCTTTCAGAAAGTGTTAATACTCGTAGTTTTTTTTTTTTTATCAATTATCAAAATGGAAAGTAAATTAACTTAAGAGAAATCCAAATCAAATCATTATTTGGTGTGACCACCCTTTTCCTTCAAAACAGCATCAATTCTTCTAGTTACACTCGCACAATGTTTTTGAAGGAACTCGGCAGGTAGATTGTTCCATTCATCTTGGAGAACCAAGAACAGATCTTCTGTGGATGTCGGCTGCCTCAAATGCCTGTCTCTTCATGTAATCCCAGACAGACTCCATGATGTTGAGATCAGGGCTCTGTGATCCCGGGTCAGTATCAATAGTGTCCTCAATGCTGAGAAATACAAACAGATACTTATCGATCATGCCATACCATCAGGGAGGCGTGTGACTGGCCCCAAACTTATTCTGCAGCAGGACAACGACCCCAAACATACAGCCAATGCCAGTTCTCCAAGATGTTAGGAACAACCTAACTGCCAAGTTCTTTCAAAAACTGTGTTTTAATAAACAGTATGTATACAGCCATGTAACGTTCTGATGAAGCCTCAGGGGTGAGCCAAAACATGTTGAGGTGTTCCACATGTGGTGTGTCTGCAGGAGACCCACCTGCTGGGATCTAGGATTCTGGCATTGAAGAAACACTGGGTAGCCAAATACTTTAATGCTGTATACTCATCATATTCACGTGGGGTGTCCATTCTGCTAGCTAAGTCGCTTAATGCTGATGTTCTCCAGGTTAAAACTGACCCGCACGGGAGATTTGTTATCATTCATATGGCGATAAAGGGGACTCCTTTGACACTGGCCTCCGTTTATCCCCCCCCCCCAGGGGTGGACATCCTCCATGCGATCACTAATGCTGCCCTGACCATGCCCACGGCCCCGTTGATGATCACGGGCGACTTTAATATGGCCCCTAACCCCCTACTAGACCGTATGGGAGGTGGAGGGCGACTCAATAGTAACTTCACTGACTGGATACAGGGAATTGGGCTTCAAGATGTGTGGCGCTGGAAGTGGCCGGACACTAAAGCCTACTCATGCCACTCTGCTACACACAGGACACTCTCCAGGATTGACTTGGCATTTGCCACCCCGACGCTTCTTCCAAGACTTTCGGGGGTGCGCATTCTCCCTAGGGGGATCTCAGACCATGCCCCCTTATTAGTGGAGCTCAGCTGGGGACATTTGTTCTCTTCCAGAGTGTGGAGGATGAATTCCCATTGGCTGTCTGACCCCTCTGTGGAGACTGCCTGCTCCCAGGCTATTGGCTATTACTGGAGAGACAATGCCCCTGTGGCTTCCTCTTCCCTTAAATGGGAGGCCTTCAAGCCCACTCTTAGAGGAGCGTTCATGGCCGCTACGGGGGCAGTCCGTAAACTTATGGGGGAAGTAGCACTAGCATTGGAGAGTGATATGGGAGAAGCTGAGAACAACTACATCCTAGACCCTACTTCATCAGCCTCCAGCGAATATGGGCAAATATGACCTGTTCCTGCTGGAACAAACTAAAAAGAAAATGCTACATACTCAGCAAAAAATATTCGAGTTTGGGAATAAGGCGGGTAGATTACTGGCATACTTTACAAGGGCGGAATTCAACCCTACCTCTATTCCCCACATTCTCTCTCCCTCGGGGTCCCTGGTCACTGACACCCAGGGCATTATGGATGCATTTCTGTCCTTCTATAGAGATTAATACTCCTCCAGAGCCCAATATACGGACGTTGAGCTGGGGAATTATCGGTCTCAGATCTCCCTTCCCTCCCTGTCCTCTCAAGCCAGAGAGGAGTTGGATCAACGGCTCACTACTGACGAAATAGAGTTGGCGGTTGCCCAATTCCCTACTGGGAAGACCCCGGGGCTTGACGGATTCCCAGTGGAGTGGTACACCTCTTATATGGAAGACATAGGGCCACACCTACTAGACACATATAATGAGGCATTTGGGCTGGGTATACTCCCCCCGTCTATGAGAGAAGCTCTTATAGTCTTGATTTTAAAACCAGGAAAAGATCCGACTAAATGCGACTCGTACCGTCCTATTTCCTTAATTAATGTAGACGCAAAAATCCTTGCCAAAATTCTAGCAATGCGCATTAATAAACACATTCTGTCCCTAATAAGCAGTGACCAGGCGGGATTCATGCCAGGCCGTTCCACCAGGATGCATATCCGTAGACTTTTCACCAACCTCCAATATTCTCACCCCACGACTGAAGGTAGAGCAGTGATCTCGCTAGACACCCAAAAAGCTCTCGACAGCGTTGAGTGGCCTTATTTACAGAGAGTAATGGAAGCATATGGGTTTGGCTCCCGTATAATCCGTTGGGTTGAGATTCTGTATAACGCCCCAGTGGCCAGATTGCGCATCAACAGAGAAATATCCGACCCGTTTAGTATCTTTCGGGGTACGAGACAGGGTTGTCCTCTCTCCCCTATCCTTTTTGCCTTGGCAATTGAGCCCTGGCGCTTAGGATACGGAAGTCTGTGAATATACATGGCCTGAAGATACGTGATCTGGAGGAGCGGATCTCTCTGTATGCTGATGATACGTTAATTTATTTGTCTGACCCGAATAACTCCCTATGCCACCTCCTCCAGTTATTGGATGTCTTTGTAACGTTTTCGGGCTTCAAGGTCAATTGGGATAAATCAATCCTTTTTCCCCTAGATGAGGCCACGGTGGCGAATATTCATCCTGTGTCCAAGCTAAAGGTGGTGAAGGACTTTAAATATTTAGGGGTTAAGGTTCAATGGCCCCTCTCCTCTTATATTACTAATAATTTGGCCCCGACTATTGACTCTCTTCAATTGAAAACTAAACAGTGAATGGACCTACCGCTGGACCTTATGGGGAGAGTCAATATCATTAAGATGAACTTTCTCCCTAAGCTACTGTATATCCTAGCGAATGCCCCTTGCTATGTCCCAAAAAGCTACTTCCGTAAAATTGATTCAATTTGCATGGGGTTCCTGTGAGGGGGTCGCACTCCTAGGGTGGCACTGGAGGTACTGCAGCTCCCTCGCACCATGGTGGGCCTGGCATTTCCTAACTTTCAAATGTACTATTTGGCATCCCAGTTAGTGGTGGTCCATGACTGGCTGGTCCCCCAAGCTGGGAACGCATGTACAGCAACAGAAGCAGCCATACTAACTTCCTTTGAATCCCTTCAAAATGTAGTTTATAGGAGGGATCAATCATACCCAAAAGCAACAAGGGGCGGTGATGATTTCTGTAACTGTCCGGATTCTACGATATGTTATTAATAGCTTATCATTACCTCAATGGTCCCACTCTCCCTTCTCCCCCTTGTGGAGTAATCATGCCCTCCCAGAGCTGCAACGCCTACCACCAGCCGCCTTCTGGTCCTCAAAAGGCATTAAATCCTTGTCTCATTTGTTTCGAAATGGGGTGATGCTTACCTTCCCACAGCTTAGGGAGGAGCAGAGAATGCTGCGAGAGTAAGGTTCATCAAAATTGATCTCCACATACTATGCGGAACTCATGTTCTCCAGAGCCGGTAGATTTGACGGCCGCAAACAGAAGTGGCGGTCGCTCCTCCCGGATCTGGTGGAAGATGATTGGGGTGACTTTGAGAGCAGCTACATGTCATCTGTAATAGCGTCTAGGGACAAACTGATCCAAATGAAGTTCTTCTACCAGGTTTACTACACTCCGCCCGGATGCATAGACTCGGCCTACGCCCGACTTCGCATTGTTTTAAGCGCTGCGGGCGAGAGGCCGACTTCCTGCACTGTTTCTGGGAATGCCCAGTCATAAGAGCCTTTTGGTCGGAAATCACTTCCTTCATGGAGGTCAGCCTCGGCTTCCCCAACATTTGCAACCCCTCATTCTGCCTCC